ATACATATATATACATATATATACATATATATATATACATATATATATATATATATATATATATATATAACTCTTTCCCCCCTGTGCTCTCCATTCTCACAATTCCATTTAATTTTCACTAATCAAAACATACAATCAATGTATCTAAAAGAAGCTGGACCAAACCGCTTACAGTTATGAAAAAAAAATATATATTTTAATGAATATTATAACTGGATAGTTACATTTTATATTTTTAATGAATATTATTATTGGTCTTTTTGTTTTACTGGACGTTTTCAAAATTATTACACAATATTCTATCAAAAATACACAGGCGAACCGATTCTTGACACGTGGCATTTATTTGTCATGATAGGTGATTGTGGCCGTCCGATTGAAATGGAAAAAGGATGGTCCTCTCCATTAAGTGTTCTAAACGTTTTATTTATTTTTTTCTTTATTACGTATTTCAAGGGTGTGAAAAGTCCTTCTCTTAAAACGTTATTCCCTTTTGTTCAAATTTGTCTTTTAGCATTTGAGCGTAGAGAGGGACAAGAATCTCTTCACTTCTGTTCTTCTTTTCCTTTTATATGTAAAGGGTTTTGTTTTTCTTACTTAATCAACGGTTAAAAAGACCAACTTTTGCAAATGACATACCATCTAAGCATAAATCAACATCTCCAAAAGGTAGGTTTCCATCGTGCCTTTGTTTGAAAATGCATTAAATAACAATAATAATAATAATAATAAATAAAATCGTGGTCCTGGGTCCTCCTAATCTTTGGATCCTTCTACCTCTTTTGAAAAATTATAAAGAACCTCTAATTTCTTGTTGAATTCAGCATTCCATAAATTAAATGCTTAAACTTAGAAGAGAGAAATTAGTCTAAAAAGTGGATTCAATTATTTCGTTAACATAATGCTAACCATTAATATTTATGAATTAAAAGAGAAAAAATGTTGCAGATAATCTATGAGACATGGCCTCCATCTGAGAAAGAGTACACACCAGTATTGAGCCATGTCCCCCAAAAGAAAACAAACGAGAGAGCCAACTGACATAAACACTTCAATGTCATTTATGGAATCCACGTCATACAACCCATTTCGTTTTGCAATCGAATTCGAATTTGCACCTGTGTTTTTAGACTTGTGAAACAGTGGATTGTTCAGACCATTGTTAAAGGACACTTTAAGGTAACATATTCAATAAGCGTCATTCTGAGTTCTAACGCTTTTTTTTATGAATGAACAAACACTAAATACAACCAAGGAGAACAAACACAAATCGTCCTGTTGAGTTGTGCCGCACTCAATCTCAAACTGCGGACAAATGAACATACCTCCCACCACAACATTATAAACTGCATATGTTGTTTCGGACATCATGTACCATACTCAATTATAAGACATCCCTCGCCCCTATACACTTGTATATAATAAGTATAAATAACTAATTACATATATAAGGGGTTTCGAGTGTGGGGGATCAAAATCAAAACACTCTTACATACTTTTTTTTTTCCAATCTCTTAACTTTATTTTTAGTCCTAGTTATAAAGTTCTTCCAAGTTTTTCACACTTTTTAAGTTATGCAGGATTAAAAAATATTATGACGCTTATTATGATTCTTTTAACACAAGAAAATCTTAAATTAACAATAAATATACTTTCTTTTAAACTTATATTTATAGATTTCGAGATTAATTTTTAATTAATATAGACTTAATCATGACTCACTACCAAATAAATATATCTTTAAGTAAAATTTAATTATTAATGATAATTAAGGTGTTTAAATAATTGTTCAGCCCATTTCTAAAATTTAACTAAATGACTAATTGATTCAAACTCTAATATACTATTATGATATATCATTCTATTAGTAGTTCATCATACCGTACACAAAACATTATAACTAATATGAAAGACCATATTATATATGATTTTCTACACATGTCATTTTCTTGTTTACGTAATTTCATATTAATAAGAAAAATCAAGTTGACTACAAACCAAAGACAGAAAATTCTACAGTCAATTTAGTTATTCGCAACGCCTTAATGGTTTTTTTATTAGAAAAGTTAATGTCTCGCGATGGGGACGTAGATGGTATTGACAGAATATCATGTCGTTCAATTACGTCAAATAAAATTAATACCATATGTAAACTTAGGTCTAATTAATCAAGAATTAAGGAAAAATCATAATATATTAGATAACATAAGATAAATTTGACATATTCAACGTAGGTCCATTCAGTGAAAACGCATGATTGTAATATAAACGAGCACTATTCATCAAATATGAGTAATATTCACTCAATTTATTACTGTATTTATTATTGTACGGATATATTTGATTTAGAACGTCAGAATGTCATCACAAGTACCTTTTCAGTTGAAAAAAATCTCAAAACAAATTAAAAGGTAACTGATACAACTGAATCGGAAAATAAATGTACGACTACACTTCTAGTGAACATAAAAAAGATGATGGAGATAACAATATATAATTAACAAAATTAGTATTTTAATGAAATGAAATAATTACATTTGATATTGTTAGTTCATGTAGACTAGTGATCGGACAAGAGAAGCGACCGACTGACATCGATAAGACCATAATAAGAACGAATGTGTGGAGTTCCAAAACATGTATCCAATTGCTACAGTACATACCAAAGATTACTGTTGCAAACCAAACCTATTGCATTATTCCACAACAAGTACGAGGTGTATAACAACTGAGATCTTATTGTCAACCATTGACACAACTGAGATCTTATCGTTAATTCGTCCTTAGTTTGCAAAAATAAAAGGAAACATTTTAAATAAAAAATCCGCAAGCCCGATTAAAACAAGAAAATATGTTATTTGGAAACATTAATTAAGGAAAATATTAGTCCTTGAAAACCCATCTCTGATAAGTTAATCCTTGCAGTTCTTAGAATTTACATGAGATTTATGCTAATTAAGCGTGTCAGGCAGACTCCAGTTTCCCTGCGTGGAGCTTTCAGCAACGTGGGATTCTATTGGTTTTCTTTAGTAAATTGTTTACATTTTAGAACTAATGAGAAAAGTTGTGAATGTGATAGCTACACCTATACGACAAATCAGTGAAGATATGGGATCATTAGTGGACAAGTGTGTAGCTGGAAAAAAACAGGAAACATTAATATAACTTGTCAAATTCAGGGAAATGAACGAATCCCATGTGAATCGTACGCAGAAATGTAATAAATTCAATTGAAATTTAGCTGAATCCAGTTCATTAAACCCAAAATATCGTACACGGGAGAATCTAAATTGGTCTAGCATTAAGGAGTACGA